CCTTTAAGTGATATCACCGCTACCAGTGCAGACTGAAATTTTTGCGGAGGAAAGGCAACTTCTGCTATTTTGTTACCCAATTTACTATTTTGAAGAGCTAATTTTTCACGAAAAGCTCAGGAATCGTCAGATAAAATTGGGAATGTCACAAACCCCAAATCGGTGAAGTTCAAGCTTTCCCTGGCTGAATAATCGCAGCTGATTCGCCTCGCACTCGGTCGAACCATATACTGACGACGCATCCAAGAAAGCAGTGAGTTGGTTCAGCTAAAAGGGTTAAACAGTTTAGTTACTATTCCTTTCAAATGTGAAAGACAGACCCCATCTATTGCGAACGATCAATAACCAATTCAGACCTGGTTTCTGTAGCCGAGTGTTAGCTGTCCAAGAAGACTTCTTGTGAATGGCATACAACGTGGGCGTCCGTCACTATGTGTGGCTGGGAAGAACGGATCGTCCTTACCGATTTTGATAGGGAAACAGTGTATAGATAGGTTCTCCTGAGAATCACATGCTGAGCAGTTGAGAATCGTATTGTTTGGCCCTAGAAATATCACTCGGTAAAATAATCATGGAAAGCTTCACAAATATTTCCCATCGCTTCCTAGCTCTCAGCTTGTCTGTCTAAGAACTCTTCCTTATTCTTTAATCTGACAATAACATAGGGCCCAACAAGGAACTCGAACGAAACCGGCAAAAGAAAAATCAACAAAAATCTAAACTTTTTTCGAAAAATAAAAATTTACTCCATGCTTTTCTACCACGGCCTGTACAGTCTCTCATATTGCCGGACCGGTGGGGCGTGTCAGCCAGTATGAGTGTGCACACTGTTGAAGCCTTTCTCAGCTTTTTTGTTGAAACGCGTATGCGACAAAAAGTGGTACAGTAATGTCACTTGCCCGCTTCAACAACTGGTGCAGAACGACTTTGGCACCGCGCCAAACGCAGCCGCACTGACACGCCCCACCGGTCCGCAATGATGAGACTGTACATCCTTTCCTTTATCCGGTCGCCCGCTCCTTCGCTCCACGCATCACACACGGAGTGTTCTGTTTTACTCAGGTCACGCTCCGGAGAAAATTTTCGCAAAAATAAGACCCCTCCTCAAAATCTTCTACTCTTTTGCGACCCCCCCCCTCCACTCGCACTGAATCATTCCACCTGACATCTTCCTGTATTTTTCCAACTTCTTACCGTTTTCTGGAGTTCTTGCGGTAATCCCTCTACTTTCTCCCCAAATGGCTTCTGAGCAGGTAAGAGGAGGAGGGGATGGTCAAGCGCATGTGAAGCAGAATGGGAGCCCTTGATGGTATGCCTGACCTCGCTGATGACTATATCCCATGCGAATGCACTAATTAGCCAAAACATTCCCTAAAACCATCCAGTCATATGGAATGCGAATTTGCGGTGCTACAAGATGGCTTTGGATTCGAAACAAACATCTGCCAACCGTAACATACCTCGTGCGATTGGCGAATGCATCATGTCGTGATCGAGAATCTGACCGAACTGCATCAACATGTGAGTGAATCGGACATGAAATTCGGGTGCGTCGTTGTGTACGACGTTGCTGACCGCCCTGCTCGATGGTAATTCACGTCCTGATCGTGCTTTCGTTCGCGGAGCATCAAAACCTGAAATAAATGTTTTTTTAATAAAAGGCAAGGCCCGCAATCATTCGCCATCACAGATAGTGGATCAGGAGTTTGCATATAGATGATTAGGTTGTGAGTAATTCGATAGTGAAGAAAAAAGCAGAAAAAAACGTGCCGACTGCCCTAAATAGAACCCCATTCCGATCCCAGTTTGTACGTGCTTAATTAACTGCATCTTCAACATTACGCCTTCATCCGCACCCCGATAAGAACTCTACGACCGTTCAAGTGACAATTTTCATGCTTTTTCGTCCTGCAGCTTCGTTTTCACTGAAAGGCGGGCCTTGAGGGCGGAGTCTGGAGGCGGAGTCACTGGAAAAAGGAGGCGTCACTGAACCTATATTGCGCTATAGCGCCCTCCCTTACAATTTTTTGATGCGAAACCGGTACAAGGTTGTTCGTGATGGACTCACCCTCCCGACACCATATTTTCAACTTCTATACCTGATCGCGGACCGTACCTTTAAGCGGACCCAAGAATGTAAAGTTAATGGCAGTCTTCGCTATAAGCCAGCGAATAGTTCGTGGGTAGCGGGGCTAGAAACAGAAATGCATGTGCCAGCTGACTTGCTCGTAAAGAAGAAAGG